GTGGAGGCCGGATAATAACGGGTCGGCCATGCCCTTTTGTCCCTGTCGAGACAGATTATTAAACACTTAAACGGCTACGATGGATACGGGCCGTGTATTCGGGGACTGGGTTGTTTGCAGGAAACAACGAGAAACCGTCAGCATCGGAGTAAAATGTTTATTGCACGCTTTCTTTCTCTCCGGCTTGTGTTTGCCGGAGAATTTATTTCGTTGTGTGGTTTAACTCGTCGTTAGATTGAGATTCTTCAGGCAGTTTAATCCTGTCTGTAATATGCTGATTTTAATAATTTATGAGACTGGTTTGATGCGAACACTTCGCTTTGTCTGCATTCTTTTCTTATTAAGCATTCTCATTCGAGAAGTTTCTTCGTACTGTGTAATGAATATGCGCAAGAGAATTAATAATAAAATACAAATTACATATAAGTATCGTATAATGGTAATAATAGGAATTTTAATTTAGGGATATTTAGGGATTTAATTTCATTAAACTTAAATTTCAAAAAAAGAAAAGAAAACGGCGGATTATAGAACAGTGACAGTAATTGATAGTGTAAAGGTAAGTGACATTAAAAGATATATATTTAGCTTCAAATGTAGGTATAAAGGTAATTTCGCTAACATAGCATTGATTGACATGGCGCGGAATTTTAAAACTACTTTTAAATGTACTTCCTTGTAACGATTAGACGAGTGTCACACTTTGACTGCCACGCCGAAATCACATGTTTCGCTCAGGATGCCACGGGAGTATTTTTATTATTAAAAGCATATAATGGCAAAATAATAATACATCGATGATGTAAGACAACATTCTTCTCCAATGGACCGTTTATCTTATTGATGGTCACGGGTGACCACCGTGACGTCTTGGTAACACTTAATAGCGACATATTATAACAAGACCTCGTTTATTTCAACAAACCACTTGCGTTCGTTATTTCGTCGTAAGCAAAACGTCCAGAATATATCGTTGAAACATGTGGAAGATATTAGAAAACAGTATTTGCTCATTCTATATATAATAGTAAGGTATGTGCACACTTCTAACTTCAATTATATGATTATAAAGCAGCATTTACGATTATTTTCTCAGGTGTGTTTATAATAATATTCGTAGATTACCCCTCAAGGATATGGATGCAAACACAGTGCACCGTTAGATGCAAGATTTGTTCTCATCTTTTTTTTATTGATGTTCTAATAAAAATTTTTAATTGTTCTATGGGGCACTTTTTATTTCAAAGTATCTTCTATTTATCGCTTATATTCAAAATGCCCTAACTGTCAATTTTCATACAATTTTTACACTTGTAAGAAGTTCAAGCGCTCCGGTCACCGAAGTTCAAGCGCTTCGGTCATCAATGACCACCGTGGCGTCACAGAAAAAACCATTGGTCATATATGACCAACGTAGCAGTCACAGTGTTAAACTGCACGAGTGCTATAATTTTATTAACATTTACAAAATCCAATATCTGTAACTTCTTCGATAATTCTCCCATTAATAAAACGGATATATTAGCAAAAGAGAATATTTGATTATCGTAATGATTATACTGTAGCGAGGCAAGAGCGAATTCGCGCGATCGTCGTAGTCTCGTTTGCGTATTCGTTGCTTAATTATCACTTTTAATACGTGTAACGTCGCCTCTCGTTTCTTTCTAATTCTTGTCACGTCGACTGGCCAGCAATTCTTTCCCTTTCAATTTGGACCTTAAGCGGCGGGGAATAGTCAAGCATGGGCGCAGTACTTTAATCCTTTATGAAGCGGAAAGTGGCAAGAAACGAAGCTACGTGTTTCGTGTTTTAAAGCATAATTTAAAAAGTAACACGAACGCCTTTTTAGGTAGATTCATTTTCTATGCTGGTTAACAAACCACTGTCGGCTTGGGTTAGGTTTGCTTAATCCACGAACGAATATATAACTTTGTTATTTCAAATATTTGAATATCAGCGGATCTCTAATTGAAAGAAAATTTAACTCGCTCGGTTTCAAATTGCGATAACGTGGACCGCGGATATACACAGTTCCTACCCAAACGAAAATTATTATCCACGCGAAATTTATACGCAGTAGCTACAAAGAATATTTGTACACCGTCACATTCATTATAGCGTGTATATATTAATTAATTATGTCCAAGTATTGACATTCATTTAAAATTGATTTTCTCCGCGAAATTTTTCATCGTGCATTGAAAATAAAGAAAACTTTCACATGCTCCCACATACGTTCGAATCCTATCGAGATATCGATTCTGGTGACGGCACTTTGCGGAAATCAGCCAGAGAACCGATTGAACTTGCCATCTCGTCGCGTCATTGTTCAGCCAGCGAACAGATAATCAAACAGACGCTCGTTCCACCTAATGTTAGCCCTGACTTTGATTCGCGACAGCCATTTGCTTGCCTCCGGTGAAATTAATTGGAATTTACTTATCGGAAAAACGAGGGCAGATTGTAATCTTTCGATAAGTGACAAGGTTCGTTTGATTCGATTGCGACATCTTTGCAAGCGGAAGTCGTATCGTGCGGGGCCGTAACAGGCCTGTTTGCATTCTGCTTCGTCTGGCCCGATGTGATTTATAGCGTTACGCTCGCTTAAATGTTCGAACGATCATGCCGCCGCCGCGCATCGTTTGAGTATGATAGTCACGTCGTCCATTGTTCCTAAAGAGGCTAATCGAATGTTAGCGAATGCGATCCGTAGCGTACACACGCGTCCCATGCCATATGGTCTGTTTGCAGATACATGGTGTAACTGTAAATTGGTATTGATATTTGGATTATTCAATAGAAAGTTATCTGTTGGTATCCGAAGAGGGAATTTTGAAAAATCAGCGACCCTTTCTAAAATAATTGGCATGTTCCTAGCAAAACCGGGCTTTGAAGTGTAATAAAAACGAAATGTAACGCGTAGATTTCAAAAATGCATTGGCTATCATTTTTTTCTTTTTTTTTTTTGTAGAATATCTACTATTAATCTGGAAATAAAAGTTCAAAGATATACCCATGCCATGTAAATGTTCCAGCGATAGGAAAGTAGATTTGAGAACGAATCTGCCAACGAGCGATTTCGCGAGTCTCTCATCGTGTGATCAGTCTCGATACAGTACACCACTTTTACGTGGTTGAACTTTTCATGCGGAACTTTCATCGGAAGAGCCAGTTACGTCGGTAACTTTTCCAACGGGCGCTCTTTCGAGCTAGCGTTCGATGTTCGAATCCACTGAAAACTTTCTCCATCGGTGACAACGAAAATGAACAAGAAAACTGTATTCTTTACAGCCAAAAAGCCAGGCAATCGAATCTCATAATTTCGCGGCAAAAGAACGATTGTTTGTTCGAACGACGAACATAGTTCGCGAACTGGCGGCGACTGCTGTCTCTACAGTGCTCGTCATTGACAGCGATGATTCCTGCATCGATCAACCATTAGCCACGGTCCCGGGGGTAATTTCCTAAATTAAATTCTACCCAATCCGTAATAGGGGCGATAATCGGTCATGATTTACTGCTAATAGAAATTAATCATTTCCAACAAACTCTCGCGGCGATCCTCCGCGAATGGTTTACCTGTCTGTTGTGGCAGGAGAGAAACGCGAACAACATTTTCCAAGCGTTTCAGCAACAACGAGAAAGAAACGGGTGAATAAAAGACGCGATGCTGAGAGCAGAATTTGTCAACAAGCAAATCAAACGTTGCGCGGTCAAAAGGTTGATTCCCTTAAATTATGGATCTATTGTGCTCGCCGCTTTGCGACTGGCGATACCGGTAATTCCAAAAATGTGCTTTGAAACGCGTCTTATACATAAAAAACGACGTCGCCGATATCGCTACGGCGGATGAAAAGCGTGGCGGCGAAAAAACTGACGGAGGCCGTGGAGACGGAAGGGAAGGACGAAGAGAAGTAGCTCTTGCTTCTTTCACCCGGGGGAATTGTGGTTAACCGTACGGAATCGGTAGTGTCGTGGAAAAGAGGGTTGTTATAAGCGGCCTTACACCACGCCCGGCTTGGCCCGCGAACTGGGGCGGTGTCACTGTCACGGAATCGATATCTGTTCGCTGCTACTGAATTTTATTCCGCGGATGAGACAAGAAAAGCGACTAGCTCTGCCCCTTCTTTACCGATCGTTTTGTTATCTCTTCTTTTCCCTTTGCTCTTCGTGCATGCACAGTCTGACTGGGAAATAAGGGAGTTCGTCGTTGCTTTAAGTAGGTTCTATAACGATCACAGGTCAATGACGTTTTAAGAATTATGTATAAGTAATATTTTCGCTTTTATTTACAAAAACGAAAAATTAATTCATTACATTTTTAATAACATTAAGTCGTTATCTCGTTGATACCGTTTAACTTTTGACTGAAAGGAAGAATGTTTGTTAAGAAATTATTTGACTTTTGAGTTAGGTATTTGAAATTGTCAACTTAAGAGATTCTTATAGGTATATATATATATAGTTAACCACAAAAATTTGTGCAAAACGTATAAAACGACAGTTTTTCTAATTGGAATAAAATGCTATAAAATTTGACTGCAAAACTGGTGCGTTCTATATGAAAACAATTGAAAATTGTTTTATTATTGCTTTATGAAAGTATATTAGGAAATCAATATGGTACTATAAGTCTTTGTATTTTTTATTTAAATAAAAATGGACCTCTTTTATGAGGCGTCAAAAGCTTTCGTGACTGACTGTACATCACGTAAATCATATTAATCGATGTGACAGTAATTTAATATGTCCGGCGTTTTGTATAATTCATGTACTCATCGTACCGCTGCTGCATATGACTTTCTCGATTAAGAAATTCGCACATAGATGCCAGTGTGTGTTCGTCCATTCCTCTTATTTCGAAGATTCCAAATTCCAATAAAAAGTTTACTAAAAACACCTTTCAGGTGTGTAAGTATCCAGAAGAATGCTAAAGGAAGATACTTAGAATAAAATGAAGAACTTTTACAAATACTGTCAATGTTTAGATTAAGACAATACGAATGACAATGGACAAATATTCATTTTTCTATCGACTTGCACACAGTCGAGCTCGCAGAACAAATTCGTTCCACTTATCGACTTAAGGACATTGTATGTCGCGTCTGACTACATGGGCCGCGTTCTACTAGTTTAAGTTGGAAAATATGTGCCTTCTTTCACTTCGTTTCCCATCCATGGGTATTGGTAGCTTTACAAGGATCGAACGCCCGACCACGTACAGGGCCATTCTACTCACTCATCTACTTACTGCGCTATTCTACTTCAGCGACGTAGGGTCAACGTACAGGCTACGTACATTTCACGTCTGACTATGTGTCGACTCGTTCTACTCCATCCGTTCTACGCGGTCTGCTTGGAAATCAACGAACTGAGCTTATCTTCTGTTCGTGCCATTTCCTCGTCAAACAGAGCGACGATTCGAGTATACGTGGAACTGTGGTCGCGTAGAACAAAACATTGTCGAACGAATGGAGCATTGTGTAACGAACGTTGAGAGTATCGGTTGTTACGAGGACAAAATCTCAACAACTTTTCTGACGAGCGTAACAAGACGAATAGAAAGCCAAGACCCACGCATGTCCAACGATGCAAACGCGATCCGTTACGTATCAGAAATATCGTGCGTCGTCGAGGGTGAGGCTATGGCCGATGACGTCACCGAATAAATCCAAAATCAATTTCTCCGGGAACGAGTCCCGGGGCTTTGGCTGTTGTTCATCGTTGGAAACGGCGTCGCGTCGTTGGCCAGAAACATACAACAATTTTTCATCTCTTATCGTTACCGTGGACGCGCCGTCACCGCGTGGCAAAGCGGAAACCAGTGACAATCGATGCGTGCATGCGGAGTACCGAACCGAAAGGAATGAAAACGGCCAGAGAAGAAAGAAAGGAGAGGGAAGAGCAGACAGAAAGAGAAGGAAGAAAACGATAGGATATTCGTGTAACGGAATCGACGAGGATTCAGGTTTGTTAAGTCCCTCGCTTAAAACTTTTGTATCAATATTTATCTCTAATTGCTTGGTTGGAACGAACTACGAAGCATTCTACTAGCTAGCTATTAACAAATGTTTCCATCTGTTATCGTAGTTAAATCGAAGCAGACGTGTACGCCACAACACCTAGCGATCACGCAAATCGACAAAGCCACGAAACCAGCTAAGCCGACTTATTCGCGCGATTATCTATTTGTAGTTGCCTGTACGAAACAGTTTTCCGGATTTCGTGTAATATTCGGCTCGACGAAGTACGTAATCCTGTTATATCGAATATATTGACCCACGGTGTAACAATATTACAAAGAATCGTTATTATCGATTGGAACTGGTGAACTGAACACAGCCGGATGCCATAGCAGGCCTTATCCACACTCGTTTATTTCATCCCTTGCTTCGATTCCATCTACCGCTCTTGCTCTGCCGATAGGTAAGCTCATCCAATTACCGAAAATGCAGCTGTGTACGCTACTACGTTCCGGATATTGCTATTTTTGAGACCGACTCGCGTTACTTACACGTCACGCGATACTATTCCCCTGCTGCTGCGCTTCCTTTCAACTTCTTTGCAGAACGTTCGAGAGGATGGTACTCCTGGATATTATCATCGACGTTATTTGCAGTGCCATTAAAGTTCAGCGATCACTGTAAGCTTTCGTATTCGATGCCATTAACACATTACGTTCCGCGCCAATTCCGTCTGCGCCATTCAAATTCTCACATTTATTAAATAAATTGAGTTCCATAATGGTTAATGCCAAATTACTAATTATTTAATTTTGCGGTTTCTTACGCGAATAGACCAGTTCTACGTCTCATGAGAAAACACACATTCATATCGAAAAGTAAAATACACATAATACGCAGTTTCTCTTCTTGTCATAGACAAAATATCAAACTGCTTGAACGAAAAAGTCGCGCAGTACGGAACGTGCTAATATCGAGAGGGACGAGAAGATTTGCTTCGCAAATCAAACCGACTTCTCGTCCAGATATTCCGTGAGAACACCCCTTTGGAGTTCTAGCGGCGTAGAGCCAGCGTGTTATTTCATGTTGTACCTGGCCCAGTCTCCGAAAGATTCAACCGTATCGGCATATCCTGGCGGAAGTTGAGGTCGCCGCGTCGCTGATGTGTCGTATTTCCCGAGGGCCATGTCGATCAGGGAGAAACTGCATCCGGCGTACATGGAGGCGCAATCATGGCCCTCATGGCCTGCTTTGTGAGCTCTGCTATACGCATGATGCTCCTCCGGCTCATGAGCGAACAGCCGCTTCAAAGGGAAGCTGTAACAATCAGCAGGAAGGAAATGGAAGGTTGTCGCTTGTCTCTGCGACTTCGAGGAACTTGCCAACTGCGCGCGGTGGTAGATTACGAGAAATCGAAGCGGATCGATGGGATCTTACTACTATTTATATCGAACAATGTCAGGAATTTTCGAATGATCAATTCGGTAGAATGACAGCGTTTTTTCACATATTCACTGCACTAAATCGTTGCAAAATTTTCAACATTCATTGTACTTTGTTTCTTGTATACTTTTGTACGGCATATTTAATCTTTTGCGGATGTCGCTACAGTGGCGACGTTTGAAAGTTCTTCCCAAAGTCGGATGTTTTCACAATACTAGCGGTAAATACTTATTACTCCGATCAGTTGGTAACGCCAGCAGAAAAAGACAAGCAGAGTTTGGCCAATCTATTAACTAGTTCGTTACATCGTAACAAATGATAAGTTTAGCCTGAGCTGATTGATTTATCATTATACAACGACTAGACGTTCGTTTCAATTATGACTTCCTTGATAGTTGCTCTAAAAACGAGAAGAGTACAAAAAACGTCGAACGAAATGCGCGAAAGTGATCTTAGTATGTATAAAATTCGACGTGATTTTTTGCACGAGCAACGAGAGAATAGCGTGACTTAGGCTACATAGGGGTTGAAATGCGTGAAATATCCACGAAGGGCAACCTTTTAACCTTATTTGCTTAATAAAATTCGTCTCCATTGCCTCGGTCCGCCTCTTTCTCCGGCGAAACGAGATTATTCCGAAATCCCATCGATCCCCGACTAAAGCCCACTCCCTCGAATCCGAATGAAGAGGAAGAAAGGAATCGCGGATGGGAAGCGGGGAACCTTTCGAATCCGCGCGCTGCTGGAACTCCTTTTCTTTTTTACTCCTTTTCCCTTTGCCCTCTGTGAACCTTACGAGAATGATATCCTCATCATCTCTTCGATGAGAGTGTTTCCTTTGGGCATCAGCCGCTGAGAGGCCTCGCAGAGCGCTCGGAACACGCACGTTCTCCCTTCGAAGTTCATCCTGAAAGAACCGGAATATTAGAATGGAGAAATAAATCGGGAAGAGAGAAGATATCCTGATCGTGATCCGAGTTACCGACTATTCTTATGTTATATCGGCATAGATGTGGGAGGAAAATTAGAAACGATGAGTAAATTACGGATCTCTGTGCGTTTGTGAGAAATTTAAAGATGCAGGAACCCGCAGAAAGCATATATAAAATAAAAAATTCAGTACTCAAATAGATAAATAAATAAAATATTCAAAGAAGAAAGATGAAAAATGTTTTATGTTAATCGATTTAGTCGCGTTATAATCTTCTGATGTACGTAATTGTGATAGATAAAAGCTGGAGTCGTAGCTGTTCGATTCATTCGTAGTTTTATAATTGAAATGTATTTGGTTAAAAATAAGAAAGTACCCGTATACTTTTGGACGATTATGTACCTTAAAATAAATAATTATTTACAGCATGGCGAAAAATATCCAGTAAAAAGTTTACTAATACTCATATGAAAACACGTAGTAACTCGAATTTTCTCTTGTGCACTGTATGTGTAAAAGTAATATGTTTTTATAAAAAATTAATATAAAAATAGATTTTGTAGCAGAATTATTTGCTAATATATTCATAGCAATATAAGAAATGTAAATTAGAACGACAATGAACCTTTTAATAGAATGGAGACTAGCAAAAAATGCAGACTGTATTTATTTCATCCCCATTCAACTATTGAAACGTGAAAGAAATGTTGTGAGAATTAAGGGAGGCGATTTCGAGGTAATGCATTTTAGGATTACTCGACACGAAAGAAAAGAAAGAGTGTGGACGGTGGCAGAACGCGTATTAATGTATCCTTTCGGCGATGAACAAGCGTCTGGTTGCACGTGGGGACGGATAAAAGGGGCGGCACGATGTTTTCTCATCTGGCCGACCCTTCTTCCAGAAAGATTAAAGTTTCCTTTGAAGCAACGTTTCAAAAATTCGTTGCGCGCTCCCCAATAATTTCACCCTTGATTTGAGTGGTCGCCAAGTTGCGATCGATCTTAGAAAGTTATTATGCAGGGTAAAGTATGAAAGTTCCTGCGACCTATGATCCACGTCGGCATGTATCAAAAAATGACAAATTAAATTTTTAGAAATATAACGAAGGAGTTATTCGTTGCGGTAGAAGAAGACTATTGACAATTAGCCCTAATCTTTTTTTATAAATTCCCAATGACTTTTTAATTTCTTAACGTTATTGGCGTATTTTTTTCAACAAGAAAAATAGATTTAAAACGATATCAAGCTTGTTTGCACTTATTTATAGAAATCATATTTTAATATCAAGCATCTTTGTATTTATTTGCATTCATTTGGCAAGGTAAAACTTTTTCACGATACTGTAACAAGGGCTTGGACTTACCCTGTTTGCGAAATATTCTTCGACATTAGTTGGGACTTTTATTGAAATACGTAATATTTACTTGAGGGCGCGGAGGGTTGGAGAAGAGAATATCGTGAAGGAAACGTACGGTCGCATGAAATAAAGTCGTATCCTGTGATCACCAATTCGGATAAATGCTTGCCATTAATTCAGAAAGATACCTTGAAAGGGAGAGCAGAGTCTTGCGGGAGCGAATCGAAAGAGACTGGCTGAGATTACTACTAGGATGGTTGCTGAGTTCGCGCAGGCGATCTCCTTGCGTGTTACCTCTCTCTTCAAATTGTTTCATCTGTAATATTATGGTTTTCCTTGACGAGGCTTGTCTACGTCCTATCGCCCAGTTTATTGGAATTTTCTTGTTAATTGCCTTCTAAAACGCACGCCCATCCGATGCATACGTGAAACTGCGATTAACCCAATACTATACGATACATCTGCCCTTCAATTTGGTACTATTACCATCATAATACATCAAAGGTGATTCAGTGGGCCGTTCCAACAGACACTCCAAGTATCTGATTAACGCACAAACGCAGTCACGCGCTAATTTCCATAATTCCTATTCGACAATTACACACTCCTATTTCTGCGTAGAAATAACCAATTCATAACATTCCTGATTTCAAGCTATAGTTACACGATGGATAGTAAAAGCTTTCTGACAATTTTCTCGCTGAAGATAAATGCACCACTACCAGGTGAAAGCACGGAATACGCGAACAAATAGGAAGCCATTTTCCTGCGCCCAAAATTGATTCTACACGCTGGATAGAGGTAGTTGGCGTAACATAACGCAACAGTGGTTTTCAAGGAGACGGTTCACAGTAGTGTTAAAGCTGGTTAAGGTTGGTATGAGACAGAAGACGGCGCATCGTTCAACGTAGAATCGCTGCTGGGATACTAGTTGGAGTTGTTTCTGAATTATCCTGCCGGATCATTTCTCTCTTTCAGGGCCAACGACTACAGCAGAAGTAGGTTTCCTTTATTTTTCTTCTTTCTTCGTGTCCTTTTTTTTATAACCGGATACTTTATGTCCAACAAAGACGAGGGAGGCGGTTTGATTATTTTCCTTGGCCGAGATAGAAACAAAATATCATAGAACGTATTTGACGTAATATTACATAGAATTTTTTTGGAACACGATTCTCGGTTTTGTTTAGTTGCGATTTCACAAAACAAGTCGGGCAAGAGCAATGGAACCGATATTTTTCTTCGTCTTACCGTCAATTTCAACGCGCTTAGACACTTTCATCCGCCGAATTCCCTTCTGTCCGTCAATACGTCGACGTTTTACACTAACGCGACCGAAATACATCATCGCAGATGACACGGGAAAAAACTGAGACGGCTCGACGGCTCTCCATAAAGGCGGACGACTATCGTTCGATCACGTCCAGACTCCTAAAGCCGCCGTTACATTTTATTATAGAGGCTGCCACTCAGCCCGGCGCGAAAATTTATTCGTCTCTACGATTTTCAAATGGGAGAAGATCGCCGCTTTTACGCCACCAAAATGGATACATCCTCTTGAGGATACTTTATAGGAGTCAGCAAAGGCTGTGTTTAATTTTTTATCCTGTATGCTATCATCTTTCCACTTTTCTAGCTAACTTATCCACACGTCTTTTACTTCTGGCGGCAGAAAACAATCGTAGTATAGCAAATCCGGCAAATGTGGAAATTGTTACGGTGAATACGTATTACTAGCGCACGAAAATATCCGAGTATTTTCAATAATAAAACTCCCTATTGCTTTGTCACGGAACATAGATCGACTACTTGACAGCCAAAGTAGTATTCCATGTGTTTTTATTTCTCTTCGACCCCATTACAGCACGCGAAAAAAACGTCATAGAGCGCTTGTTCAACGATGTAGGAAAGCGTTTCGCTCAGCAAAACAACGTGCTACTTCATTCTAGACGACGAATCACGCACTCTACTGTCTTTTTATACCATTAGACATCGCTCTAACTTAAGTCCATTCTGACCTCACTACGCGCAGGCCGCAGCTACTTTTCATCCACATTTTCACTCTTTGCCTAGCTCAACGTCAAATATTTTCTCCGTTTTGTGGCTTATTAAACGAATTTACGACTACCGAAATTATTCGGCAGAATTCTTACGAATGACGAGCGATTGCGAATTAGATATACACAAAAATATATAAAACATTCGAGCTGTACAGTATCTGTTGTTATATCTAATAGGTGACACAGAGCTTTGCCTAGGTTCTTCTTGTTTAATTATTTTCTCAAAAATCGGAATTTCCGTAAAAATATGCGGTCTAAGTGTAAAATACGCTGATATTGTTTTCCGTAAAACAGGACATCGTGTATAGTTTCTATTATTTTATATTTAATGACTGCCTGCCTGCCTATAATCTTAGCTATCTTCCTACAAAATTTCTGCTCAGCAACTTACGCGTTCATAATGGTCTCCAGTTTGTTGTAGAGTTGCCTGCGATGTCTACGTTGCAAGTAATAGTAATCTGACTTGTGGTACTTGCTTTTCCCTGGTTTCACGTAATATTTATCGTTTCTGTGCCATCCGGAATATTTCACGACGTTCTTGTTGATCGCGTTCACCGTCGAATGATGACCATATTTCTTCAGAGGTTTAATCTCATCGTGTCTCAATTGTAAAAGGGGTTCTAGAGCTGGCTTGCTTTCGTTTGGTAGGTCGTACGAGATACCCCAATTGACTCCCTCCGTGAAAATGTTATCGTCCGGTGTCAGAGTATGCACCGTAAGACATAGAGCGATCTGCAAATAATAGCAAAACCATCAATGTGAATTATTGAGATATGTATAATTTTGTGTGCTGGACTGGGTTAAATGCGTAGTAGGGATACTTGTATGTGAGTGTCAGTGTGTGGAGGTATGTGTGTGCGCGGCGTCTCGAAAACAGATGAATGTAAACTGTGTTCAGTCTGTTAACAGTCGGGTATGGAAGAAAGTGCTGAGACGCGTGCAAGTGTGTATCGATGAATATCTTAGAAATCGTCCATAAAATAAATATATAACTATTCTAATTTTAATTCCAAGTGTAAATTTAGTATTCCTATAACATTATTTCGGCTATCAAGATCCACAATTCACATGACAAGATCCACATGACGATTATGCAAATGGATGTAGAAACAGCATTCCTAAACGGAACTATAAAATCAGAAGTATTTGTAAAACAACCTATGGGTTACGACGATAAAAGCGGGAAAGTATGTAAATTATCAAAGGCGTTATGTGGATTGCGTGAAAGTTCAAGAGCTTGGTATGAATGTTTCGACGAGTATATGAGAAAATTAGGATTTCAAAGAAGTGAGAGCGATTATTGTCTGTAAATGAAGTATGAGAGCGATGATGTTATATACTTAATTCTGTTCATAGACGACTTATTAATATGTGGAAAAAAAAGAAAAATCGATGAAATTAAAACCAAATTGTCAAACAAATTTGCGATGAAGGACTTAGATGAAGCAAAGACTTACTTAGGAATAAACATTGAATACGATCATAAGAAATGTGAGATGAAATTAGATCAAAGTAGTCATATAGAGTCATTAGTGAAACAATATAATATAGAAAATAGTGAACTATATTTTACACCAATGGAACAAAACTTAAGTTTAGAACCCGCACAATCAGCCTCAGACGATATAAGATACAGAAATCTCATAGGAGCTTTATTATATATTAGTACTGGAACAAGATTAGACATTAGCTATAGTGTAAACTATTTAAGTCGATTTCAAAACAGTTACGACGGGACCCACTATAAATATGCATTGAGAATTTTGAAATACTTATATTTAACTACAAAATTAAAATTAACTTATAAAAGAAATTTGAATGCTGAAGATATTGATTGTTTTGTTGACACTGATTGGGCTGGAGATAAAGTAAATAGAAAATCCACTACGGGATTTATCATAAGATTTTTCGGAAACGCAATTTACTGGAAATCGAGAAAGCAAAATCATCAACAGCCGCCGAGCTTTGTCAGAAGCAGTGAGTGTATAATAAATAAATAAAATTTGTAAAGAAATTATTGAAAAATTTCAAAATAATGATCGAGAGAACAATAAAAATTGACGAAGATAATGCTGGAGCGATTGCGATATCAAAATTTAGAAACTTAACAAAAAATTTCAAGTATATTGAAGTTCACTTCCATTTTATGAATGAAAGTTACGAAAATAAGAAAATTGACATTATAAAAGTAGACTCAGAAAACAATATAGCTGATATTTTAACGAAGGCTCTAGGGAGAAACAAATTTGAAAATTTTAGATTACTTTTAAAAATGGTTTGATTAGGAGGTGTATTGAGATATGTATAATTTTGTGTGCTGGACTAGGTTAAATGCATAGTAGAGATACTTCTATGGCGGGGCAGGCAGCTACGCTCGTTAAGGCGCTGTACTGAAGACGACGCGTCGCGAGTTCGAATCCTCGGTTGAAAGGATTGAAACAGAAGGGACGGAAAAACCAAAATTTCTCTTAAAAGTATAATATACTACAGGCAAGCGGCCCAGCCCCCTCCCTTGCGTGTGTTGTGGATGTACTTTTTAGGAGTGCTTGGTTAAATGTGCAGCTGGATGTTTAGCACACAGGGGCCCGACGATGAACACTCGCACTGGCTACTGTTCCGTCCGTGGAGGTTTTAGCCGGTAAGAATCCGGCACTACCTTCCGCCCGCCCCATAGAGGGTGGTGTAAGGTGTCTATGAAGATTTCCTCCACGTAAAAAAAAAAAAAAAATTTTTTTGCCAACGCCCAAACCGCGTTGAGTGCACTCGTTCTCGTCCAATCACGAAAGTTAAGCAGCGTTGGGCACGGATAGTACTTGGGTGACCGCTTGGGAACTCAGTGTGGTGTTGGCTTTCCTCGGGGCCGCCAAGCAGTCTTGGCACGGCGGCTCTTTTGACGAGGCGCGGTGTGACATGGCCGCACACGGCTCCAATAGGGGAAGTATTGTGCGCTGGAGAGGGGGGCGGTGTATCGCTCGCACCGGTTCCCGAACCTCTCTCGATCGCAGCCGGGACGGTCATCGTGGAGGTTTTAGTCGGTTGGAGTTCAGCCGACTACCACGCCGCTTTCCCCAGAAGCGGCCTGGTGTCCATGCGGATTTACTCCACGTTAAAAGAAAGAAAAGAAGAGATACTTGTATGTCTCGCGGCGTCTCGAAAACAGATGAATGTAAACTGTGTTCAGTCTGTTAACAGTCGGGTATGGAAGAAAGTGCTGAGACGCGTGCAAGTGTGTATCGATGAATATCTTAGAAATCGTCCATAAAATAAATATATAACTATTCTAATTTTAATTCCAAGTGTAAATTTAGTATTCCTATAATATTATTTCGGCTATCAAGATCCACAATTCTCAATATGAATATTCTATCGCTTCGTCGTGTACGTCGTGATAATTCAGACGGTGAATAGACCCACGTGATATTATTTACAAAGTGAACAAAGATTGGCTTTATTGCACATTTTTAAATAAAATTAGTCACGATGGATATGGAAACCGCAACCATCGTCGCTGTGTTACTAGCAGACTAAGTATGACGGGGGCAGAGAATGAAGAATTTATTGAACTTACAGAGAAAGTCGAGCCTTCGGGAAAAACGACGTATCGTTTTTTCCTCGACAAACGAGCGTCCCGGTCCGAGTTCACTTGATAATCACTTAGCAGGACGCAGATTATTAAAAGAAGGAAACAACGTTCGTTTCGACTCATGTCTCGTGTGGTTCTGCAAAAGAAGAGGTGAAACGTTACTGCCTGGTCGTTGGGACATTTTAAAGATTCCTCGAAGCGACTGACCTACATCGCACGCGACACCGCCCGTACACGTACTCATCGTCCCAGTGGAACTTTATTAACATTGAAAAGTGGGAGAAGGAAATAGCCCGAGTAAACGAACCGCGGTACCGAAACTATCAGCGCGAAATCAAGCAACCGAGACCCCATTTGCCTTTCTACAAATCCCGCCCTTCCAATAACACGTCCTGCCTCGTTTATTGTTTTCCAGTAACTACATCGACCACACGGAAGACCCGCACAGCGAAAGAAGATTCAGCTCCATTTAGCCGTCTCATACTGCGTTCTAATTACAAGCAACGGACGAAACGAGTAATAGAACTGTAATAAAGCAACCTTCGTCCGTTTCTACATCAATCGTTTACGAAGAATGAAATAAACTGTCGGTGATTTAGCGAAACGAGATTCAAGTTGACGCGGAATCAGGCCAAAGAGAAGTATAAACCCCCTCTCGTCGAAGGACATCTCATTAACCCGAGCTTCAAGTGGTGATACAAACGACGAACAAGCAATTTTCCTTCCTAGCCAACGGAACGTTTTCGAGTCACAGGGAAATTATTTTATTTGTTCCGTCGACTGGACCAACCTGGAACCTCCCCCGTGGCAAGTTGTAAAGGAATTAATTATTAACTTTCTACAAGAAAATCTCGTTATAATTTCGCTGGGAAATTGCTCAACGATATTGCCAGAAACGAAAGAGAGATATGAGGTACGTTGACAATGGTCTTGCAGCGTGACCACCGAAATCATAAGTACTGTCCGTTCTAACAACAACGATGGCTGACGAAGAAGAGGGATCGTTGGTGGAAGATTGGTTTACGCTAACTTTCGAAACAATCTTGAACGATGAACGAGCTTAACCCCCTTGGATCGATCGCCGAATTGACTGCCGAAGCTCGAGACTCGATTAACTCTACCGTGGAAAACCAACTACTCGCGGATTTTTAACTTGACTGATCACTAGGCTGCTTTAACCTAAGACTGTTGATTCAGTCTGTGTCACTGCCGTTATCTGCTTTGGGCGACTCTTTCCTCCATATTTTCTTTTGAAAGTGGATTTCCACGACTTTATCTGCCTTATCTTCTTCACTGTGTTTGTAGAAATTAGAAATGATCTCTAGGCGAACTTTGATTTAAGTCAATTAGTAGCTCCTATCTCCTATCGTTTTCGTATTATATTAATTAAATTCTTGTAAGACGAATATCTCGCTACAACTTGAGGCAGTCGAATTTCGATAGCAGAGCCGTATCAGACTATTTCAAGCGATTTCTGAATCTTTGACGCGAAGATTAATTAAAATTCCTTGTGAAAGCTCATGCTTGCGATGAAACTAGAACCTTTCCTACTATTTTTCCAACCTCCTCCCACGTGTTTATATTTCACGCGTCTCACGTCAAAGATTTTCTGCAGTACTCGTTGAACGTCTCAAGGGATCGGACAATTTAACAGCAGACGTTAGATAATTCACGTTTGACCCAGTAGTGGTTCAGATATGGGGACAGTCATTGTCGACCTAGTGGAAAAGATCGATAGTTAGGTCCGATACATGCTGAAAGCGGCGGTTCCATGACGATGATGGAAACCTCCCAGCGAGATTTCGCGTTTCCTCCTCTTCTCTGCAGCTTGGTGCTGCTCTGTTCTCGGGCCAATAATTTGTCACACTTCAGCGGCACCGCTCGATAAGTGGACCCGTTAATATTGTAAAGAGCACGTTACAATAGCGGAAGATTGAAACGGGGGCCTGGAATTCAGTCCGAGGATATTTCGCCAGGGAATTCCCAAGCAGTCGGTCTGGCTGGTTGCATATTTCACGGGCGAACCGCGATTTCTCAGTTCGACGTCGATGAACTGGCGTGTGCGAGTTCGCGAGAAGTCGACGTTAATTCGCGAATCGACGTCTCCGGCGACAGGAAGACGAGAGGGCAGCGTATGTCTTCTGGATTGACGCGTTCTTGCGCGATTACTCTTCGATCCATCCTCCTAATGGCTCGTACGATGCAACTGCTGCCTTTTACTTCGATTTGCTACTTCGTCTTCCTTACCCTCCTTCAGTCGTTTCTTCGCTGCCACTCATTCTTCTGAATGTTCGATCCTTCTTCCACCTGCATTCCGTATTCCTCCGCTCTTATCCGCCCTTTTTTAGTCCCCTAAGCGTGAATTTTCATGAGCAGCCGGTTTTTTCAAGTGGCAGACAGACCGGATTTCCCTTCCATTGTCCTAGTGCGAGGAACAAGCGAAATTCTAGAAGATTTGCGTTCGAAAAGGACCACTGCATAACTTCCTGGACCTTGTGTTTTATCGTCTGGGGTATCGAACTGGGTGAGACAGGAAGCTTTTTCGGAAATTTATACACTCGGTAATTTGTCATAATGGTGGAACAGTCGTTGGAAACGCGACGATACATAACATGTAGATGAGAATTCATGCAGATGACGTTCGTGATCGACTACTAAGCGGAAGACATCGGACGTTTAGTCCACAATGTAGAGTGTAGAATATCGATTGTGAAGAGCTGTTCCTAGAATGTACGCAAGGATCCTCATACATGGAAGTATATTTCAAAATATAGTATAAGCATACAAATTTTCTATGCTAAATATTCAAATACTTTCATCAGCCAACGTATACTGTTTTTAGAATCTGAATTAAATTCAGCAACGCATGCCCACTTTTGCAAATCTGTGTTGCTAATATAATTCGTTATATCGTGAACAAAATATATCATAGATATATCACTCTTTTAACCGGATTTCAATAATATTTACATCTCTGTTGTGATTCGTCTTCTATCGTATTAGTTGCAATCGGTTAAATCGACACGATTGCTCTGGGCTCTTCCAATTCGATTTTTGTAAATAAAAAAATGTTGTAGATACAGGAAGTTAGTTTTCTATCGTTGTACAGGTGAAAATGGTTTTCCAGCCACAACGTAAACGTAACCAGTATATAGCAAGGAGGAAATGTTGTATTTTCCATCGGTTTTTATATGCATTCCGTTCCAAATCGGTAACGTGGAAATTGTCGTCGCTTCTGACGCTCGAAAACCTTCGATTCTATCGCAGTTTATTTGCCGAAAGCTATTGAAACGTCGGATAATATAACAAAATCGATCGACACTTTGTAAAGCACTGGTCTTGAAAACTCAGATAACAAATCCGTGTTACGGATACTTGTACCTTTAAGTTGGTCATTGTAAATAGAACGCGAAAAACGTAATTGCAACGTAACTGAGAGTGCCTTTGCTTTTAAAAAGAAGGTTAAAATAAGGAAAGATAAATAGAAGTAAGATTAAAATGGCGGTATCGATGGGAGGGCAAGTTCGATAACTTAAACAATGGAATCCAATCGCATGTGCTGCGATTTAAATTTGGACGAGCGCAGGGCGAACATCAAATCGAATGAAAGTCCCGTCTGATCGAATCAGAACAGCGCTCAGGTTTGCCCCTTCTTCGGAATCTATTAGACGAGTCAACACAAACGATTGAAATTTCTCAACCACTTTCCACCCTCGTTCGTTCCTACGTTCGTTCGTTCGTTCGATCGTTCGATTTGCCATCCATGTAACTTCGCGTACCATCTGAATACTGCACACGCGATTTCATCGTATGTGGAAAAATATTTCTGTCGATCGGTAAGGGCGTACAAATATTGACCATTTGGAATAGGCTGTAAATCCTGTACAGCTCGCGTCTACATTGTCGCAGAATCGATTCTAAATTTAATTGCGACGAGCGTAGATAAATGAACGGGAGAAAAAGAAAGCACTTGCATCGGAAAGATCCGCTGGTTCACTTTAGCTACATCTGGAACAGGTACTTAGATCCGAATCTCGCGAACTTCTGCTTTGATGCCGAGTTATAGAAGACCTGTTTCTGATATGTAGACACGCGCGGTTATATCGATCCTCGTTTCACGGGGACGCGACTATATTTCAAGGGATGAAACAATTTCGTAAATCGTCGCGGCTATCCGTCAAAAACGCGGGCGAAGAAAAATCAGCAACAGCGAAATGTCGCTAAGCGATGCAATAAACGAACCGCGGCCCGCAAACCAGATGATTTTCGAGCGCGATGAAAGCTTTTATTGGATGAATTTCAAATATTCCACTGATCTTTCTCGGTTTATCCATTGACCAATGAAAGTTCCTACATAATTTCCTTTCATTTTTATTTCTCCTTTTTCATTCTTTTTCTCATTTATTATTATTGTAATTTCTTTGTTTTTTTTCTTTGAAAAATCGAACTAAACAGCAAACGTGAAACCGATAGTCCGATGAACGAACACGCAATCGAGGAAACAATATCGATGATTGATCGTTCGCCATGCGTAGGACGCGACGCCTCTGTGAAAATGGAGCGGCAGGACTTTCGTTCCGGCTCGATGGCGGATCCGCCTTTAAGGTAGCAACGAGTAACTAACAAGTAAACTTCTAAATGAAATTCCAACGACGAAGTATCCCGCTATAAATCAATCCGTGAAGCGTGAGGGAAAACATCACAGTGTATTTCAAACGGTTTTAGCATTTGTCTCTACGAATTTTCGTGACAAATTAGCAAAAATGGAAACCAACTTTCGAGTGTAAAAAACCTTCTATCGTCCTCAGAAGGAAATAAATAAGAAGAGGAAGTAACAATTCGAACGTCTCTTATTTCTGATTCGTTGCAAACCGATAAAACCGGGAACTCGTGTTGCAACTCACTGAATCTGTTACTTTCCTTCGAAGAAAACGACGAAAAAGAAAGGGAGAAGCGTTCGTTTGAGCATTTCTCTCCTGAAATTTCTGATAAATTAACAAAAATGGAAATTCGTCTTAGAACCTGGAAAACTTTCTCTCTTCTTTCAAAAGAATAAAAGAAGGAAAGCAACGTTTAGCCATTCTCCTCGAATTCGAAAGAAATTTAGAAAACCTGTAGTTTATTCTAGAACCCGATGAAATTTTTAGTTTCTACGAAAGAAAACGGTGGAAGACGAAGAAACGAGAGAAACGAAACAT